AGGCGGGGGCTCTGAGGCACCAGCGCGCCTTCGGCTCGCCCTGCCGCTGACAGGGCGCCGGGTTCAGTCAGGCGCTCGGTGAGCGGAGACTTTTGGCTGCAGTGCCAATGTTCCCCCCGCCAACCTCAGCTGCCTCTGAGCCCGGCCCGGCGACCCGAGAGCTGCAGAAGCGCTCTGCTCCTGCCCCGCTCCTCTCTGAGCCCAGCCAGCCCGAGAATAACCAAGCAGCGTGAGCTGGGTCTGCGCCTAAGTGGTAAAAAACACCGATGACCGTAGCTCTGCTCTTCTTGAGCATTCAATGCCGAGCTGTGCTAAAGCGTATTTTCTTTTTCTCTCGGCAATGCTACCCAGAAGTGCGGAGCTTCTGCTGAAGACTCCCCTTTTCAGCACGCACGGCAGTGCAGAGAGAGGAGCAAAGCTATCCCGGTTTTTAGGGCTCCATGGGGAAATGTGTCTGAAGGGAGTCTGGCGCTAGGAAGCTGGGAGCTGTCAGGCTGCGTGGGCGTCTTCAGGCAAGGCAAACTCGGGTTTGGTACCAGCCATGCCCACCAAGATGTTCGGCTTCCCTGGAGTCCCATCGGATGTCCTGTGGAAAAATCGTTTCTTAAATGGGGAATTCTCAAGGTTTCAAGGGTTGGTTGGTTTGTTTGTTTTAAAGTTGCTGCCTACACTCCGTACATGTCTCAAAACCCCCTCATCTCTATGACTCTCAAGAAGAAATTTTCTGAAATGTAAATGTATCCAAATTCTATGAAACACAGATGTTAGCTTTACTGTCTTGATTTCAGGAAAAAACCTACAGTTCTCTGGGAACTGCCATTACCATGTTTTTTTTATATTTAAAAATACAGATCTATGAACTATGAAAACATTACATAAGAGTGTTTCTGTAATTCAGATGTAATGTGTGAGGCATAAAATTATTCTGATCCTTTGGGACATAAACCACTTCTATTTTTGCAGTAGTCAAAGGGATTGTGTTTTGTGTCTTTGGCTTGTATTTGGAGTCCACCAAATAATTTGTTTTGGGCTTTTTTAGTTCTTCATCAGATTATTTTTCACGTTTTCTGTAAAGCCCAGGAGTCCATGGCTCATCATAATACTTTCCTAGCAAAAGGGGTTTGCAGATGAAGTTACAGACCTGCTAATATCTGTGACAATTTTCCTGTATATTTCAACCAGGTTTCCATCCAGATCTTTTAAACAAGCTGTGTTGAGCTAAAAATGTCAGTAGTAACTTTCTGACTCTGCCTATGAGTTCATAGGGAAATTCTGTCTATGAACTGACATGTGGAGATCCTTAATTCACAGCAGAAAATGTATAAATGAAAAAAATTACAGCTTAATTGTATGAAATAGTAAGCCTGAAAGCATTTACATTTCTCTATCAATAGTTGCTAGTATTAATCCACACATTTCTTAATTTGTTTTAGATGATGAGCTCTCAGGCTCTAGATAAACCACATATGAAGTGATATGAATGTTAGGGCCCAATTCTGCTCCTGTTTGAAGTCAGCAATAAAACTTCTTTTGGCTTTAGGACTAAGAGCTTACAGATGATGAAAAGTGGAACTCCGCAGTGAAATATGGAAAGAATAGAGTTTTGGACTATTGTGTTACTTTTAAAAAATAAATTCTGTCATATCTCTCTGGATCTGAATGAAATGAGGGAATTGATTATTTTGGTTTTGGTCATCTGTTTGTTCAAAGGATTCTCAAATGAATTCTCAAAATGATTTCTGGTTATGCCAGTGAAACAGCCAGTTAGTACCAAGTAATGAAATTTTTGCAGAAACGTGGAATATAAGCTTTTACGGCCTGATTCTCACAGCTGCAGAGCTATTGCTTCTGCAGAATTATGACTGTAATGAGGAGAAAAAGCATTTATTTCAGGAGAGATTTCTCTTCACTAAAACTTTGGATATGATAACACTGATTTCAGTTATTTCTACTGTCCTCTTCTGCTTCTTTCAGTAATAAAAAATCCTGTTAAGGAAATATTCACAACTGCTAACCCATAGATAGATGAACCACTTCACTTCCTAATGTAAGCAAAGGTGACATCTTCTCTCATAAGAAAAAGCATTGATTGCCCTGGGACCAGAGGCAATACTGCATTTTGGCTGCTTTCCTTCCTGAGGCATACCACCTCATTTTCCTTTGTGTTTTGCATTTTAAAACTTAAAATGTTAATTTTAAATTTTTTTTTAAATCAGTTGTTAAAAAAACATCTTGCTTAGCTGTTGTGGGGAATCTTGAAGTTCACACAGCCCCTTCTGTATTTAACCTGTATTTATCCCTAAATTCCTGGATTACTTTTAGATGTGTGTTTTGGAAGTGACCATAACAAATGTGTCTGCTGAGTGGCTAATTTTCATTTGAGTTACAATTTCTTTTATGAATATGTAATGGAGCTTCCACCTTTAAGGCTGTAAACCAACTCAGTGAAAAATTACCTTCCTCCCAGTTTAGGATTACATTGAAACACATGCTTGCATTTCCTTAGGGATAAGCATGTGCTTAATAAAGTTGCATGAATCTGGGACACAGACCTTACAATAGTATATATTACTATGAAATTTCCCCCAAATTCCCATCCCAGAGCACACCTCATTTTTGTAGGACTTCTAGTCCATTACATCTCTATGGGGGAAAAAAAGAATGAGAACAATGTGGAGGTAATCAGTTTTGAAAACAAAAGTAGTCCAGGAATATGCATGTTGGTGGAACCTCATCCAAGGTGTGGGACACTAAATAAAATAAACACCTGAAATTTTCTGGCACTGCTTACAACCTAGAAATTTATTTTCAACTTCATGTAATAATTTTTTTTTCTTTTCTTTTAAGACTCTGGCACCATGTTGAGTAAATAAAGTGCATATTAAAATACTAGTGACTAGACAGTCACCAGAGAAATAAAAATAGTTTTGGAAGAAATCATTCTGATCTCTTCAGGGAATAAGCAATAGTTGATAATTCTTTGAAAACATATTTTTAAGACAAAATTAAAAGGATACTTGTTAAATAATATTCCGGTTTTCATAGAGATGAGGGAAAAACAGCAAATGTGAAGTCCAGGCTGACACTTGAAATCATGCTGCATTATTCCTTAACTGGAATTCCCAACTTATTTTTGTCTCCCTCAAAGCCTTAAGGTTATTAAAATTGTGTGTTCCATGCCATGTTTCATTTAGATACTAACAGCAGCCCTTCCAAATTGCCTGCTGGAGTCAGCAATTGTGTCATTCTTACACGCCTTCCTTGACGCATGAAGCTTCTGCCAAAAGTAGTACATGCTGGTACTTAGATTACTGAAATGAATGCATACATCTATGATTTATCTAGGTGCTCTAGAGTTCTGCTAGAGTTGATCTGCTGACAAACACTAAAAATGAGACCCACAAGCATTCCTTGAATGTAGTGGAACCCCCTATGACGCTTTTCTGCTTCAGGCATTCCTCTCCCAATCCATCTGATGAGAAAGGCTGAACACCGTAGCATTTATTTTCTCCATGTGACTGGGAAGACCTAGTAACTGAGAAATTAGCAGTTATCTTTTACAGCAAATAGTACTTACCCTGAGCCTCTGCTGGGTCTCTAGGTGGCCCTCACAGCACTGGCATTTGGCTGCTTTCCTGCCGAGTTTTGTGGTCTCTGGCAGAGCGGATGAAGCTGTCCAGCCCAGCGCCATGGTTTCACGTGTTTCTCGGGTAGGAACAGGACTCTTCAATTCAAATGCTGTTTTTTCCCATACTGATAATGCTACTCAAATAAGGGATACAACTGCAGCACCCCAAGCAGGTAGAAAACAATGACTTCCTCAGCATTTTTTTTCACAGTCCTTTCACTTTTTAATGCCTGTGCCTCTTCACAATTTTAGTGTTTTACAGCATTTTTTTGCAATTAGTTGCTCATTTCTGGTGCCTTCTTCCATGCTCCTATGGGGAGGGTCCCTCAGAGACTTATTCCCTCATCTGTTTGTCTTGCTACCACATAGCTCCTTTCAGAAAAACTTTGAGGCCATGGTGTTTCTGGAAGGGGGGAGCTGATGGGTTTCTTCCCTGCTGGTTGGTGTTTTCAGCTGACTGAAGAACTCAGAGATTTGGGAAGCAGCAGAAATGGTGAAATAAGTGAGGAAAGAAAGACTGTTCCTACTCAATAATTAGGTTTGGAGCAGCCATACAGTTTTGAAAGACCTGATCATGTCCTCTTAACTGCACTTCCTGAAGTGGTCTTTTGTTGTGTGCACAAACTCTATGATATTTAATGTAATTTACAAAATTCTGCTGTCCTCCAACAACATCATTCTGTGTAAAATGAAAAAAAATTCAGGGATCTGAAAAATTCTTAGCACCGTGATTGCATCTGTATTACTTCTAACAAGGATTCAGAGTAATGTGCGAGAAGACGTAGTTTGGAATGGTAAGACACATCTCTAACCTGTACCCAAATATGGTTTTATGTTAGTTGCCTGACTTGCACATCTCTCAGCTTAAGCATCATCACACTCAGATATGTTGGACCTCTTTAGAGGTGCAGTGTGACAGAGGTTGGGAAGCTGTAAAACTACAGGTGTATACAGCATATGCATTATACACTGGATGTACATTATACAAGGAGCTGTATAAAGTTTCTGAGTCTGATTAAGGGACACGAATCTAGACTACGTCTGCTGAGACAAGGACTTTAGCCCTCTGGTATTGTGGATAGGTGTGTCATGTAAATGAATCCTTGTGTAATGTAAAATTTATTCTTCCACTGTTGTAAGGCAGGAGCAAACTTCCTATATGTCAGTAAGCTATAAAAAGGGAAAGAGAACTAGGGTGATGCACATGGAGAAAAGAGCTGGAAAAAGATGGAGGACACACAAAAAAAATTCAGTTTGGGCTTATTTTGGTCACTCTATTTGAAAGCTTTTATCTCTTGGTAGTTTGGGAACAGCTTTCTAGCTGTTCAGGGTACAGGCTTGAATGCTTATAAGTGTGTGTGCACTCATTTCTTTCATGGAACTGAAAATTTACTGCACGTCTGGCTTCTGTTGATATCTGAAATCCACAGCTGTGCTTTATTTCCTCAACTTCCTTCATGCAGGATGGTCCGCACACTGTATGCCATCGGTGCCTTGCTTCTTCTGATGGGATTTCTGCTACCAGCAGCCGAAGGGAGAAAGAGGAACCGTGGATCTCAAGGTGCTATCCCTCCTCCTGTCAAGGATCAGCCCAATGATTCAGAGCAAATGCAGACACAGCAGCAGTCAGGCTCCAGGCACCGGGAGCGAGGGAAAGGCACCTCGATGCCTGCTGAGGAGGTGCTGGAGTCTAGTCAGGAGGCATTGCACATCACTGAGCGCAAGTACCTAAAGCGGGACTGGTGTAAAACCCAACCCCTCAAACAAACCATCCACGAAGAAGGCTGCAACAGTCGTACCATTATCAACAGGTTCTGCTACGGCCAGTGCAATTCTTTCTATATCCCCAGGCATGTCCGCAAAGAAGAAGGCTCCTTCCAGTCTTGTTCCTTCTGCAAGCCCAAGAAATTCACCACCATGACTGTTACACTCAATTGTCCCGAGCTTCAGCCCCCAAGAAAGAAGAAAAGAATCACCCGAGTTAAGGAGTGCCGGTGTATATCTATTGACTTGGACTAAACCGAGAAAAAGTAGCAATTGCACTCTTGACTGTACGCAATCACTGCCAGCATGAGAGTGAGTGGCAAGATCTAGCCCACCTTCAAGGCTGGGCACAACTGAAAGGGACCTAGTGAATTACCTAAAACCAGCAAAACCCCCCAAAAAGAGAGAAAAAATTCACGTAAGGAAAGGGCATGCATGTGTGTGTGTGTGTATGTGTAAGGGAAAAAATGGATATGGATGAGCAAATGCACGAATGTTTGCGACAAAAAAAAAAAAAGGAACAGGGGTATGAGACGTTAAAAAAAACCCTTAATTACCCATAGTCATGAATTAGGTTTCCTAATTCATATGTGTATTCACATTTTTGCCGCTTGCTGGGGAAGTGGAGCCGTGGCTTTTGCGAATGTTCACCTTTGTGCTATTTGCTTTTACTGTATTACGTGAAACATCAAAGTGAGAGGACAATATATTTCAAAGCATGACTCTGTTCTTATATAAGAAATAGACAAAGAGCAATAACAAAGTGTAGCACAGCCATCACTGAAAACAGAAGCTCTGTCAAGAGTTTGTAACACACTTCTTCAAAAAAAAATCACTGTAATCCAAAAGCCATGTCTGGAGAACAATGGGGGGATGTGGGAGTGCTGAAAAATCAGTATAGGTGGATGGGAAACATCTACAGCAACTTAGAAAGCAAAAGGCCAAAGCAAGTTGACAGGGAGAGTACAAAAGGGAGTAGAGAAAGGGAAGATACATAAATAGGAAAACATAGAGGAAGAGATATTGTCTTCTGTTTACGTTTTGCTTTAATTTATATACCTAGTCATATATTACATAAATTAAAAAGAAACTATATACAAGGCTATAAATATACTTCTGAATTCTGATGGCTCTCTAAACCAAACAAAACCCATTCTTACGCCATTAGATCCATTTGATGTCTTGTGTTTCTGATATCAGTTATTCTTCATATCTACATATTTATGTATATGCAGTATCTTTTAGGCAGTGGTATCTGTACACACATGCAATGAGTGTGCCTACTTCATTGTGTGTGTCCAAACTCCTCTTTTTCACACACATACATAACCACAGCACAAAAATCTTGCTAACCAAGATCAAGTACAGAATGGCAGTAATTTAGTACATAAAGAGCAGAGCAAAAATTAAAACAAGCATCATGTGACTGCAAATGCAATAACCACACAAGAGACAAAAGACATGACATTCATGACTAGTAAACATCGCATTGTTATTGTTATTTTAGCTTTGCCACAGGCATGCAGTTTGTTGAAACGGAGATGCAGAACTTTGCCAGCAATGATCCTCTTTTTATATCTTTTACCACAGACTTGCATTTAAACTGGATTTGGAGCAAGTAAAGAGAATTTCCTGAAAACTTAGGGCTGACTGCCCCTCTCATTTGGGGGGAAAAAAACATAGAAGGGGACACACTTCTTCCCACAGCTTGATGGCTCTCACCTGTGAGGTTATCATGTCTTTTCTTTCCTTCAGGCTTAGGAGTTCAAAAGTGATCAGGGCTGTAAAGTTTGGCAAAAGCAAAGAAGGTCCTACAAGAAAGTTTAATGAGGTGTGTCCTGGGGATTGGAGCAGAGAGGCAGCCCATCCATGCACGTTGCCCTGGCTATCCTGAGCACTCAATGGTCCACACTTACTGCATGATGAGCCTTTGAGAGGCCAGGACCCAGTTTCCCTGCTCAGCAGCAATATTCTCTAGCATCCACTATCAGTATAACTGTTCTCTCTCACACCAGGTGCCTCTCTCAGCCACAAGGTGATTATTTTGATATCATTTCTTGCCATAGAATGTTAAGGAAGACAATCGTGCCCTTAGTAACATGCCCAAAGCAACAGTGTATCATGAGTGGCATGTCACAGATGTGTCCTATGTGGCCCCATTTTATCAGCTGTCCCACCTGTCATATAGTGCATCACACATTTATTGGTGATATCCTGTATCTCTCCAGCTCATACATTTTTGCTCTAAAATCCACTGCTGTGAGGTTTCTGTTTGCAAAATTAAGTGATTACAACTCATTTATTGGTATTATTAAAATGCATTTCATTCGGTGTACTCTCACTCAGCAGTCTGACACATGTCTTCATGGATTTTAAAATCCAGTTTTAAAATCTGGAATTATAGGAGGTAGGTTTCCACTGTGTGGAATGTGAATAGTTAAACAGAAAGATATGGATATTTAATGTTATTTTAAATACAAATTCTCTTTCACTGATAATAGGCAGGGAATGTTCTCCTTTAAATAACTTTTTTGATTTTTTTTCCCAGGGGAAAGGGCCAACCTCAGCCATTGCTGGAAATTTTGTACTAGCTTGGGTTTCTGTTCAAGAAACCTTATGTTTTTTCTTTAATGGGAACACCTTATGAATTATATTTTTCTTCATGTAAAGTTGACAGCAAAATTCACATTTTCTTTGACAGAGACTGCTATGTCCCTAACCCCTCAGCTGTTAAGCAAAACTTCAAACAGTAGTGACTCCTTTAAGTTTTGTTTAGAATTCTCAAGGAAAATTGATAGAAGTATTTCAAATCTTTACGTTCTAAAACTGCCTGTGCATAGATCACAATGGAACTCTCCTTGAGGCAGATCCCCCTCACCCATGTAAATCTTTTACAAAGAACTTCAATGAATTGCTAGTTATTGCCTGAGAGTAAGAAAGTTCTGCTAACTTACAGTTATATGAGATATTTAATATCAACCACAATATGTATTTAAATGTCTGCTTTTTTCTAAAAACAATGGACTATATAACCTAAGGCTGCAGTATTTTCATGCTCAGTCTCACAAAGCAAAACTTGGTTTAAAATGAAGTTTTAATTATTTTGTAACTGAATAGAATTGGAGTTTTTTCTTCCCAGAATTTTGTACGTCATTTTAACTACTAGTAACAAATAAATAAAATATCTTCTCCAGCCTGTGTCTATTGTTGCTTGTTTTTTGGTTTTTTCTGAGTTTTTTGGTTTGGTTTTTTTTCCCCCTTCATTAAGTTTCCAGCTCTTTCTGAATCTGTTGTACTTTATCCTGACTTCTGTGGTTTCTTCTAATTATAAAAGGCTTTACATTATGACAATAAGCCATAGAGACAAGCAATGGCACCATCATTCAACACACTACTTCAATAAGGTTTTTAAATGAGATCTGTCACTTCCCCCCCACCCTTCCAATTTATAGAAGGAAAATCTCAGTCTTTGCTCACACTTTTCCCCTTGTAAACCATATAGTGACAGTTCAAAATATAAATCAGCCTTGAACTGTAGAGCTGAAGTTGGAGTTGGCCCGCCTGCCTTACGCCTTATCTCAGTTTAATGTCTGGCTAGCAGTTTAGTCCCACTTCAAGGAAAACAGAGTAAGGAACACCTTTACAATACAGCATATTAAAAGCTGCAAATAGGGACCGAGGAGACGAAAAATAATTATTAAAACAGAACTGGAAGATTTGTCACTGCTGACAGCACATGTGCAAGGACAGGGTTGGGGAAGGACTGCACCAGAGAGAACAGATTTCTTCAAACTTTCCACCCCTTTTGGTTTAGTCTTCCTTCATGTCTAGCTTGGTCATGCTTCTAGAACTTACTGAAAAGACAATAAAGTTAGCTAAGAATCATTATTTTTGGAAGGTAATTGACTATTTCTGGTCTGAGATATGGGCACAGTGGAGCAGAATAAGTTTCCTTGAGGAGTTGTGCATATGTATCTTTATTTGAATATTTAAACCAGAGAGGAACCTCCTGGGTTTAGCTTTCTAGTGTCCCATGGTACCACGGTCTAACTATTTACATAGTAACATATAATTTCATTATAATTTATATTTGTCCTACACACCAGCTTTGAATTGAAGATACCTCCCATGTGCTTTATAGTTACACTGATCAAAAGAAGGTAAGAGAGAGAATTCACACACCTTGATCTGCTGTCAGGGATGCAGATAGAAATAAGAGCATCCTTTTCCTTGTCCCCAGCGAGACAGGCTGGATCTCTGCATGTGCTCTGCTGTCCATGTGCTGTGCTGATAATTCACACCCGCCTTGTGAGACTGAGGCACCAAGAGACGCTGGGTTTGCGGAGCGTGCGCTCCCATCTGAGCAGCAGATGTGCACAGTAGGGACAGTTGGGTCAGCCGGACAGACAGCACCATGGCTCTGCTCCTGCTGCCTGGCACCAGCAATGCCTGGCTGGGAACAGGGATCTTGCCTTTGCAAAAATGATGGGGTAACTCCACCTTGTAATTTACCTTCTCCTGAGTGAAAAAAAACCAACAAGCCAAACAAAAAAACTCAAACCCAAAATCAACAAAAAACCCACCACCAAAGCAAAACAAAAAACACCACCCAAACAAAAAAAACAGAAAGGAGAATTAGAACTGTACCCTGGGAGTTGATGTTCATTTTCCACTGTAGATGTAAACCTACAGGTTTTAGTTCCAATAGGTTTCCTGAAGGAGAGCAACCAAGTGAAAAAAACCTAGATCTTATTGGCTCCAAATCACTCAAACATGCCTTAGAAACCACTTCATTAGTTACTGAAATACAACAGTCAATTTTGGCAGAAGAACATCCAGAATTTTTTTTGAGTTATCCTGCTTACCTGGATGCTTGCAATGCACTAACCAAAGGGGAGAGCTGCATAATTTAAATTTTAAGGGAGTGAATATATTTGTAGCTAGCCAAAACAACGGAACTATCACTAATGCTCCAACAATAGAGGTGGTTCATCTTTTTAATAACCATCATATTTATTTTTTTTTATCAGCTGAGACTGAAACCAGAAATTCCCAGCAAGGCACAAGTATCACAAAGAATCCCAGTGCAGATTTTTGATGCTACCTTGTAATGCATCTACATAAAAACGTCTGAAGCCTCTCTGCACTGCCTGCCTGGGAATGTAGCTGGTGACTTTAAGGTGCTTTTTCCCAATGTGTGGCTTCTGGCTCCTGAATTCTTCCTCTGGTTTCATGGGTCTGGGTGGAGGAGTACAGCTTTAACTGAGAAGACTGTTTTAACTGTCACTTGCTCTCTGTACTATTAATTTCTAAAAGTTTTGAAAATAAAATTCAGAATCAATTTTTGTTTTTTTTAATAATCAAGGAGCAAGATATGAGTAAGTCTATAC